AATAGCCTAGCCTTTTCCCAGCAGTTGCAGCTATTGACGAGATGTGTTCGTGCCAGATCAGGTCCTCGGTGATCTGGACTCCGACCAGCCGAAATGAATGGCTCTTTGGTAGAACTCGGCCGTCCATCGAAACTGTATGAGCGCTAAGACGCTTTTTGTTCGTCAAAGTACAGTACTGTGTTTTGGAAGCATTGAACTGTACAAGATTGTTACGTCCCCAAGCACTGATAGCCTCCAGGTCTCCTGTCAGAGAGGAAGTCGTCGCTAGTCTCCTTTTTTCCAGCTCCGCGACAGAGATCGGCTTGTCACTCTGAATTCCTGCATGTAGAGTGCTGTCATCAGCGAAGCTGTGGATTGGGTTGATCGTGTACGAAAGGAGGTCGTTGATATGTAAGAGAAACAGTGTTGGAGTCAAGACCGATCCCTGGTGAACGCCCGCGTTGATGTTGTGGGATGAAGAAGAGAATCCGTCAATATATCTTGCGGCGAAAGGTCAAGTCAGCCACCCATCAGCAAAGCTTTTCTGGGAGGCCATAGGATGGAAGTTTGCTTAAGAGGGCAGCGTGCCAGAGCTGATCGAATGCTTTCGTGATGTCAAGAGCAACAAGATGAGCCTCAGCATGAGGCTGGATGAGTTTACTCCACAATTGCGTGACGTAAGCTAGGAGGTCCCCTTTGGATCGTTGGTGCCGGAAACCGTACTGCCTGTCGCTAATCAAGCTGTGACGTTCGAGGTAGTCCAGAAGCTCGCGATTTATGCACCTCTCCATCACTTTACTTATAACAGAAAGCAGAGCTGTAGGCCTGTAGTTGTAAGGGTCGGTCTTAGATCCTTTTCTTGGGATGGGCTGGACATGAGCAAATTTCCAGTTTTCTGGGAAGATGCCGGATTCATAAGATGTCTGGAAGAGACGCGAAAGAACTGGAGCAAGCTCCGCTGCACGTTTCTTCAGTACAATGGCAGGAATCAAGTCCGAACCAGAAGCTTTATTGATGTCGAGCGACAAGGGCACTAGTCTTACGGTCTTATGCCTGAATGTCCCCTCCCGCATAGTGTGGGGAACCCTTCGAATTGGCGGCACTTGGGCGTTGGTGGGGGCGTCCATGGTCGAGTTGGCAGCAAAGATCTTGGCTAGCACTTCCGCATGGGCCTTTGAGTCGAATACAATAGTTCCATCCTGACACGTAAGTGGTGGAAGGCTACTGTGTGAGAAGTTCTTTTCAATCTGCTTGGCCAGCGTCCAGAGAGACCGACTGCCATTGCGCTGCGACATTACCCTGTGCCTAACTTTTATATCGTGCTGGTTTTTGGCATTGCGAACCGCTTCGTTATATTTGTTTCTGGACTCGACGTCGGCTTGTCTGTTCTCTACAGTGGGGTTTTGTAAGTAGGTTCTGTGTGCCTTGATATTCTGCTGGCGAGCAGTGTCACACGATTTGTTAAATCAGCTGTTGGACCCTGGTTTATGAACTTTCACTGTGTGAGGGATGTATTCCTCCGTTCCGGCGTGGATAATCTTGGTTATCGAAGAACAGACAGTCGACGCATCCGCGTCAGTGAAACAGACATCTCTCCAAGGAAAGCTAGAGAAGAAGTCTCTGAGCCCCTCCCAGTCGGCATGTCCGTAATGCCAAGTTTTGCGGTCTGAACGAGTTTCGGCTGCCACAGCGGCTTCTGACCGAAACCTAACCTCCACAACACCGTGGTCTGTGTTACCCAGGGGGGGCAGGACAGCAGTGCTGTAAGGGACAGGATGGCTGGTCAGAAAGAGATCCAGCAGGGTACTGGCGTGTGACGAGACGCGGGAGAAAAAAGTAGGGCTCGTCACCAGCTGGGTCAGCCCTTGAGTAAGAGCGAACGCTTCGACTGCACGACCTGCTTCATCAGTCTTGTTTGAGCCCAACCAAAGCTCATTATGGGCATTGAAATCAGCGAGAAGAACAACCTCTGAAGCGGGGTGATTGATGTTCAGGAAGTCGATCTGGACGGCGAGGTAATCCCAGTTGTGGTCCGAGGGAGAGCGATAAAGGCAGCAGATAAATTTGGGTGATCTTTTGGAGTTGAGGCGATGCCACAGAATTTCCTTCCGGTCTGATTCCAAACAAACATCTCTGGAGCAGGAAAGACTGCTGCGGACAAAAGCCACAACTCCCCCGTTCTTTCTCAGATTGGAGTGCACCTCGTAGTTTGGGAAGTTGAGATGGTTAATCGGTGCAGCCTCTGAGATTTTTGTCTCCGCCAAAAAAGCACGGCGGGACGATTGGATTGTAGGTAGTGATGAACAGCATCGATGTTGCTGTTAAACCCGCAGATGTTCGAAAAACGAATTTTATCTTCGATGTTGTTCTCTCGAGCCCACCCTCCACCCGGGCATTCCGAGAGTGGAGTGAGTTTACGTCCCGAGGTCTTGGTGCTCGAGGGATTCATTATCATTAATTTCTTTGTTTTGGAAGATAACCGACTGCATAGCTTAGGTGTGGAAACATGCGGACATTTATAAGACACCCTGTGAAAAGCTAGCGGGTGGTACCGCCTTGGTCGACTGGTCCTTGTCTACCACCTTCCTTTTACGTGTTAGTGATATTAAATAGACCTAATGTGGCCCGTTGCCTAAACTTCTATGTCGTTTAAATTTACTGAACATATATAGTTCGCATATAATTTTCTGTCAATATGCCTATGAGGATTATAATTTTGTATATAACAAACCTTATTTTCTTCAAAATGTAGGCTCCATGAATGTCCCACATTAAATTTTGGCCTAAAAAGATTCTTAAATATTTGATATTGTCCACTTTGCCAATTTTCAAATTTGTCTAGGTTATTTTCAAGGAAAGAGTTGAATAACTGGATAGATGTTTTGCGCATGGATGTGAATGGTAGAAAATGCATTTTGGCAAAGTTCACGGTTAATTTTCGAGTATTGGAAAGATAAATGATTTTATAAAAGTCATGCTTAATTATTCTCTTCATATCATACCAGTCTTGCCTTGTATATAGTATTGCCGTATCATCAGCAAAAAAATGTATGTGCAGGAGAAAAATCACACATGTTCTGCCAATGAAAAAACGGACCAAAAAATACTGATATCACACTTGACAGTAATGTAATACGAGTATAGTGAATTGAACTAGAGTCGAAACTTTATTGACCAGTTTGGCTAGAATATCCCAGAAGATGGTTCTTGTGCCACTTTTGAATGTAAAGAGATTCTAGCTTTTGTAATTATCATTAAGAATATTATACAACTTCACAGCATTTTAAGTGAAGCTACGGCGAAGAATGTTAGTTTCATAACTAGGTACGTTGAAGTCGAAGTCATGACTGACAGTTCTACTATTGCAATCACCACGTTGTATAAGCTTTTTTAGAACCTAAGAAGGGACCTTATTGTATCTGATTCTTTTGAGTAAGATCTTTGATTGATTGATCTTTTGAAACGCATAGCTATACTTTCACTGACCATCAACATACAACATTGCCCGCAGTAAATACTCGGCCATTTTTTATAATTGTCTGTAACATATATTACAAGATTTTTGGATGGACACATCGATAATCGCAAATATACCTGGTTAGTTAAATGTATGAAGTACTTGACCGGAAATGAAACAATTGAACAAATTGTTGCTGCAAAATGTACAACTTCTACAAAGACAATTCAACTTGTTTCAGTTTAAATGTAATCATGTTGAAGTTATGTTGTATATTATGGCCCTGGCACCTCTTATTACATACATAGGTGCTCGCTAGTTTCCTGGAAGCAGCATCCAAGGAGTATTACACATAGGAGTGTAAATGTCAGGACGAGCATAATGATACCTGATGAGGATACGTTAGTTAATGGTGTCATTGGTCCGAATGGTGCCTGGTCTATGTAATTTGGCAAGACAGGGGTAGGGAGTTAGTTACATCTCGAATCTCTTTATTAAGGCAGGCAGGCAGGCAGTGATGGTGATAGCATTCGTAATTTAATATCTCTATAATATGAAGCTAGACTGTAACAGTCAAATTTACCTTTCCTTTGTCCTCTCAAGCTATTGGTCCGATATACCTTGACTTATCTATTAAACTGTCGTAAAACTGGAATAACTTGCGCTATTAAAAAACACATTTTCCGTATTAGTTTTACAGCGCCAAAGATTCTGTCTTGAAATTCCTTCAGCCATCTCGTAAAATGCGAATATCTTACGAAAATAGAGAGTAAGCTGAAACCAGAGATAAAATATGCTACGCGCCAGCTACTTTATTGGGTGTCTGTCTGTCTTTATTTCAATGCATTTCAAAATAAATCGAGCAAATATTAAGTCGATGTGGTTATTCCTCGTGAACCAATCTATGTCTAGATGTTATTTTCGATCAATGTTACGGTCACAACTTGACAATGAACAGGTTGTATTTTGGACACAGTGAGTAACAGCAATATTTACATACTTCAGCGGTTCCAGAACACGATCAAGGGAATGACTCCACTTGTGGAACAACATAAACATATTTAGTAGGTCACTTCAGTGATTCTCTGCATATATCTAGAGCCTCAATTGCCTGTGTACACAGAAACATTGTCATTTTGAAACCCAGACAGAAAAGTGACATGAGGTTTGATAGGGCTTTTCAAATGGAGGAAGACCTAATGATGTTGAAAATTTTGAGTCGTTTTTTGTTTTGAGATATACTCGTACGGTATAGCAAATATTGGTTTCTAATAACCCTCAGCCTGATATCGAACATGTATTAGAACATGTAAGGAATTTAATATACAAAATATAAATATCACATTTTGTTTGAATATACCAGAGATTCATAAGCAACAAAGCCAAGATTCCGTTGCCTCCAATTATTGTTAGTACTCACCAACATATTTCCCAGCCAAGCACCTCACAACCCTGTTTCAAACACATATAGGGCGATCCATTTCATATAAAAAATAAAAGATCTTAATCTCGAAAAACACGTGACGTACTATTGCTCTTTACGAAATTACCAGTTGATGCTGCAATGGAACAGATCAGCCAAATTTTGCCAGAGGACATTGTCAGTTTATACAGACTGTGCCTGACGACTACATACTTCACGTGGAATAACACAATATATGAACAGACTCAAGGTGTGGCCCTTTGAGTCCAGTGGTAGCGAATTTTTCATGAAGGATCTTGAACAACGTGCTCCCAGCAGTACACTATACAAAACCAAAATATAATAGTTATAATAATAATAGTAATAATAATAATAATAACAATAATACTAATATATATATATATATATATATATATATATATATATATATATATATATTATAAATACTTAGGATTCGCACAACTACAGGGCTTCAAACACAAGTTCATCGAAAAATACAAAAAAACGACTTACGAAGCTACTCAACACAAATTTAAACAGTAAGAACCTAACTACAGCTATAAATACAATACCAACCCTGACGTACTCATTAGGAAACATCAAATGGAGTATGATGGACCTGGAAGCGCTAGTTCGATTAACCCGGACAACATTGACAAAATTCCGGTGACTGCATCCAAACTCGGCCATCGAGACGCTGTAGTTACCGCGATCACAAGGAGGAAGAGGCATAGTGAATATCACCCGCCTATGCACAGACCAGGTCAACCACCTCCATGAGTATTACTCAAACCACAACGGGCACTTAATTAAAGAAATCGTGAAAGTAGATACCAACTCAACGCCGATGAAGTTGGGAGGAGCACTACAATCAAAACCAGCAGAAACCAAGGCAGACCTACTGTCTAACTGGAAAACAAAACAACTGCATGACAGATTTCCAAACCAACTGCATGATGGCAATGTTGATGTAAAATCTTCCTTCTTGTATCTCAGAATGGGATATCTACATACAGAGACGGAGGGCAATACAAGATAAATGTATCCGTAAGAATTATGAAAGACACATTCTATTTCTAATATTTTATATTAAATAATTCTAATAAGGAACATTGCGGATCATTGTCGTAGACGCGACTATATAGGCGAAACAATCGAGTACATAACAGCCGGATGCTCTAGTTTAGCAACCAACGCCTACCTAGCTAGGCATAATTGCTCAACAAAAAATAGGTCTGAAAAGTGGGCTCTTGGAAAAGGCTGTTCCCAATTATAAATACGTACCTACCGCGGTCATAGAAATTGATACGTCACTGCTGTATTGGGATCGCCCAATAATAACAGATAGGCACATACTGCTGTATGGTCTGACATTGTATACGTAGACAAAAAAGAGAAGTCTGCTCTGATAATAGATATAGCAGTTCCCCTTACTATTAACCTGAAAAAGACCGAAGATGAAAAGAAAATGAAGTATCAGGACTTAGCTATTGAAATAAAGTGCTTATGGAAACTGAATAATGTAAGTATTGTGCCCATTGTCATCTCGGTAGACGGAGTGGTAACAAACCGTTTCCTACAACATCTTGAATCAGTAGATCTTCCTAAATGGATACTGGCTCCTTTCCAAAAAGCGGCTATTCTTGCCACTTGCCGCCTAGTCAGGAAATTTGTGGCAATAGGATAAGGTGAACTCCTTTCCTATACAGCCGATGTATACCTTCCAATGGGAGAGAAGAAAATTAAGAAAAATAATAATAATAATGTCTTGGTTCAGAAAATGATCATAGTGTGGCGAAGTTTAGCCACGGCTACTCTACTCAACCATACTAAAACCAGACGTCACAAAAAATTAGCATAACAACATGAATCAGTAGCTGTAAGGATTGCATTAAAAAGGAGTAAATATATAATATGAACATATACAAAGAAGAGAAACAATAAAACAAGATATCGCAAAATGAATTTATCACTCAATGTGCAGAAAGCGCAACTTGACTGTATTCCTTAAGCGCTGCAAACTTAAGCTCTTAGAAATAGCTGGTAAAAAATTGTATACCTTGACCGCATTATAAGTAAAGGACCTTTGAAAGACCGATGTACGATGTATAGGAATGATAAGTAGATCATTGTGCCGCAGACTTAGAGTAATTTGGTTTCCACGAGAGATCAACTTACCGAGTAAATATACGGGTTTACCAGCTTTAACAATTTTATTGGTAGCACCGTATAGGTAAGAACAAAGCATTTTACGATATTCATGAATGGAAAATAACAGGTGGCATGTGATGACCGTTTTCATTGACGCATTGCTGAGGTCGTTTTCGAAAATCTATTTCCAGTCTTTCCAGTATATCTCTATTGATTAGACTAACTTCGTGATGAATCGCTTCCTTTAATGCATCTAACGTATGTGGCGTGGTCTCGTAAACACGCGACTTAAGGTATCCTCTCAAAAAAGTAGCATGTGGATAAGTCAGGGGACCTGCGAGTCCATAACATGTCACCAAACCATTAAACAGGCGGCGAAGAACAGCCATAGATGATCTGGCGGTATGTGCCGTGGCCCAACCTTAATGAAACCACTAATCTTGCATATCCAGATCTCTTCTTTGTAAGGCAGGTATGAAAAAGCTGGTAACCGGATTTATGTAACGGTCAGATGTTACAGTAACGGTAACCCTAATTTCTTCAAACAAAATATTTCCGATGACGCCAAATTTTGTCACCGCGCACCAAACTGTTACCTTAGGACTGTGGAGTGGCTTTTCATGCAATTCTCGCGGATGTTTGAAGCTTCGGCGGAATTCAAGTTGTACTGCAGTCAGCGACTTGCAAGTGCTAACAAGACAATGGTAAGCGAATACGCTTTGTTCTAACGTCCGTGGCTCCATGGTTGAAAGTGTGAAATGACGGAAACACTTCGAGTCAAGAAAAGGATTGTAACATGGTGTACGCCCCTCCCTTTTTCAATAGCCACGTACTCTCCAATCTAAAAACACTTGGTTCCTATGCCCCACCCTGTATAGTCTGTGAGTTTATCAGTGAGTAGATATTGTTTATTATCTTGTTTTATCTATCGTTTTATGGCACTATACATAGCTGCTCTATTGACGATTTATATACAAACTTAGTATGTATGAAGAAAAATAAATTACTATTATTATTATAGCTTGAAATCCACTCAAATGACAATACTGATACGATAAAAGTTCGAATAAACACATTCGAACAACTTCAGCCTTATCAGATAACAAATATATGACGAAATGTGCTTATCCTGAAAATCGAATTCCAGGTCACAATGCTCGCATGGGATATCTAGTTGGAAATACCGCGATAGCCTTTCTCATTCTTATCTGGAGGACCTTCCAAATGCTAAATGGTTTATTTGTTCTGGTTGGGGTACCGGAAACCATGTAGATATTTTTGTCTAATCTCCTGTGTTAAAAAAAATAGTGATTATACAAATGACAATTCCAGATGAACGAGGATACGGAAGAAAGTGTTGCGAATAAACAGTTACATTAAGAAAATGTAGTCACCGCTCCGAGCGATGCCTAAATCGAGAACCTGGAATCGTAAATGTTAGAACTTTACAGCTTCGTTGCATTACGACAAAGCACGGCTTAAAATGAAATACGCTTGTCAGAAACAGATAACTCGTAATGACAACTGTAAAACCGGCTACGATTGTTGCACCTTCTCCTGCAAAGTCGTAAACGAGTTTCAGCAGTAAAATATTTTATTTCGTCTCGAATCTTGCCGCAAGAACGTTGACAATAGCTGGAAGGATCCGACGAGTACGGAAACTAGAGACGAAAGTATAACTTCCGGTTATTACAGTCTACTAAAATCAAAAGACATTGGCGCGAAAACCTCCAAATACTTCCGAAGTGACGGTATTAAGGTTCATATATTTGCTACTGCGTTTTTAGAAATAGGGCAAACACTTTTAATTGTTACGTAATGGTAAAGACAACGAGTTGTGCTTTCAGAAGAATACAGTCCAAGAGTTATAACGAAAATAACTTTGAATGATGCAGATCTCTTTATTAAAGGGTAGTTATTTTTTTTGTTGAAGAAGCAAATTAACATTTAAAGCTTAATAAGAACACAGAATACTCTTTTTTACTGGCCTTCTGAATTTTTATTGCATCACGGCTACAACCCTAAGATAGCTATTTTGCATCCTAACTAGTCAGTCAAGTCTACCGTCCTCCTTGTCTGTATATTTTTATAGTTTTTAAAACATTCCTCCAAAGTTTCGGATCGATCTAATAGCCGCCTTGTAAAGAAGAGAAACTTTAGGAGAGCTTTATCAAAAGCTCTCATTTTATAATTTTTGGAACCAGTAATTTTAACGCGTACGGAAATATTCTATCCAGGAAGGATAATAAAACTTCCTTATTTGACGTATGAAAGCTTGAGTGTCGCTCTATAGTGGACAACAAGGCTGTATTTAATGCTTAATGACATATACAGTGACTTTGTTCATACAAAGACGCGTTCTATATATTTCGCATTAGAAATTTCACTTCTAGAACTTATATATCATTTATCACCAGACAACGAGACTTAATTACTCCTTTTTCAAGAACTTTGGCTTATGTGTAACTTTATGTTAGAATGCAAATTTCATTTCGAAGAAATTCACGCAAGCGTATCTTTTATATACTGCCTCTTCTATTTTTTGAACTGGCCAGGTTGAAAAAATATACACTTGATATTTGTTTGTTGTTCTATATCTTACATAATTAGAATGTGGAGTCAGTCATATGATACCTCACTTTGAAGCAATATCTTTACTTAATGCTTCGACGCACCGTAGGAGTCGATAATCTATTCCTCATCCATGGCTAAGCAAGGCGACGACTCAGGTTTACCATATACTGGTAGCTGAAAGGGGTTTCGCTTCTCATGTTGAAGCATTAGAAGAATAAATCACAAACAAAGGAGTTGTGCTCGCCATTTGGTCGAATGTGTCGACACCACCTTTAGTTTCATTGAAGTTCTGAACATTGCTGGGTTTCCTGTTTTTTTTTTTTAAATTTCATCACCCTCATGCATTGTAGACAATAGCAGTACTAATTTCTGCCTCATAGGAACGTACGAAAGTAATACATTTGATCAAAACAGAACATTGATGAATTTGCGTTTCGCTGCCTTATGTCAAGCAGTAGTAGACGAATATCCATTTCATTCTTTCATAGTGATCCAATTATTGTCAGTTTGTAAGGATCTTGGAGTAGTTCATTTGCCAAACTGATGAATGTGAACCAGTTGTCCATGGTAACATTCCTATTACTTCCATGGACAGATTTTGTAAGCTCCTTTACAAAGTAGGTAGCAAGCGGCAAACCATTCGTTCTGGTATTTTTTCCTATATACGGACACTACCATCCACCATATAGCTTATAGCAAGGCTTTCTTATGCCATACTTTGAATCATCTGATCCCTTCATCGATACGACTTCAAGATTATCTTGTTCCCAATCACTGCCACTATCGTCAATGGATCTGGATCATCGTCTTCTCCCTCCATAATTTTTCTCATTTTCTCTTCCATCTTGAGATAAAGACCGGTTTGGAGTCATTTAGCTAGAAAGAAATGTCCTCAGGACGCCATGTATAAAAAATAGAATACACATTAGCTCACAAATAAAGGCCAGCAAAACCAATTTTTAGAGAATGGAATAAGAATCAGCTTGCTTGAAAACTTACAAACAGTAATACGTAACTTACGACGAAAGTGCAAAATCTCCGTTGCGCTTGACAAATGCGCGATGTTGCGTAATGGTACCAAGAGCCTCATCCGGATACGATCTCTGGAAATGGACGGAATATCACGACGAATATTGTCGATCGTAAATCTTACGAATGTCCCGTACTCTATCTAGGGTTAAATATGGAATATGACATTTCTAAAAAAACTTAAAATCTATCAATATTTTTCAAACTGGATGTCCCACATTTTAGATTAAGATTGAGATTAATATGACACACGTGCGTTTCCTATGTACCTACAAAAACGCTCAACTTTGGCAGCCTGCCAATCTGACATTTTGGAAAAAAGTGATTTTATATTGTGGGGTTACAAAGTGCTCACGTAGAGTTGACATGACCCTCCATTCTAATAAAAAAAATGCTTCAGGATGGCTCCCATCCGCTATCTTCAAATCTTTAAGTCTTAATTTCAATTTGAAATATAGGTTTCACGCGCCAAATTCATCGTGTCGAATTTCAACTTACTTCCTAAGGCTCCCACTCCTTATATTTGACTCACGGAAATACTCAAAAAGTGAAAAAATCCCAATGCCATTTGAAATATTTCAAACTAGAAATTAGGCTGGATAATGTTCAGCGACACCGATTCACTTATACGAGCCCCTTCCCACTTCAGTTGGCCCAACTATTGAAATCTTAGTCTTTTTTCTTATCAAACACAAATAATAAAAATGTAGCAGGGTGTTATAGGTTTAAAATATTAACAATGAATATTTTGATAATATATAGTAGAAAACACCAACTTCATCACTCCCTAATCAAATTTGCAGCATAAAAATAACACATGTTGCAATTACAGCATATCAACCTATTTTCATTTCAATGACAAATAAGTCTTTAACGCATAGGCGGCTGTGAAAAATAAAAGCCATGACAATTGTTTTTATTAATCACAGCTGTCAGATTACGTTTAAAATAGTTTTGGGTAGTTGAGGTTTTCAAAATGGGTAGAGGAAAGGTTATTAGTGCGAAAATTCGGTTACTGATAATTAAGTTTTTTAATTCTAGGAAATCAAACTCAGAAATTGCAACTTTGTTAGACTTATCGCGGTACAGTGTGAAAAATATTGTTAGAAGATATAACGTAACTGATTCAGTTAATATTAAGCCAGGATATGTGAAAAAGGTTATATCACAAATGCCGACCGAAGAGCATTAAGAAGAATAATCGTGAAAAACAGGCGTGCCAATTATTTACAATTAAGTGCTCTGTGGAGTGTCGCTGTTGGAACGAGAATTTTGAGGTCCACAACTCACAGAGAGGCCCACAAACTAGGATTTAGCACTTGCAAGGTAAGTTTTCTTATAAAAAAAGTGAAGTAAAAACCATAAAGTTGCACAACTTGTTTATAGGCCAAAGAAAAGCCACTATTAACTCCACTGCAAAAGAAAAATCGGCTTAGATGGGCTAAAGAACATAGACAATGGACACCTCAACAATGGTGTGCAATACAATGGAGTGATGATGCCCGATTCGAAGTTTGTGTTGGTCACAGTCGCAGTAGAGTTATTCGCAAAAAAAAATTAAGCATTCCATGTTGACTGTCTGAAGAGAAAAGTGAATTTTCCAGCATATATTATGGTCTGGGGCAATATGTCATCAAAAGGAGTAGGAAAACCTCATTTTATTGATGGAAATGTGAATACAAAAATAAATATTTGGCAATTTTAGAAGAATCGCTTTTACCAGTGATGGAAGAATGTTTGACATCCGGCCAAGGCTTTGTGTTTCAGCAAGATGGTGCAGCGTGCCATACCTCAAAAAAGGCTATAAAATGGATGGAAGAAAATAATGTACCATTTTTGAAATTGGTTTCTAGCAGTCCAGATCTGTCACCTATTGAAACTTATATGGGATTGTTTTACACCAAATTTTTGCCAAAACTTGGTTAACACTATGCCCCAAAAAATTTCAGCCGTAATAAAAAATAAAGGTGGTTACCCAATGGTAATCTTTCAATTGTTGCTTTGTTAACTTCGGGCATTTATTCGCACATTGTTTATTTGTTCAGATGTTCTATTAGTTATAGGTCTAAGTGATTTCAAATATGTATTTTTTACGACTAGAGTATATCTAAAATGTTTTCAAGAAAATAAATTGTTTAAGAAGTAGATAGTTTGGTCATGATTAGTTTATAAAGGCATATTTTGGTACAAATCTTGAAGTGGGCCAACTGAAGTGGGAAGGGGCTCGTATATGGTCGCTTCACCAATACTACCTGTTTTCTAATAACATTGTTAATCAATATATTCTGTGCACTACTGGTCTTCTAGGTTTTAGATGATTAATGTAACTCATCTATCTTACGATTAGATAGTTCAAAATTGGTATCAAATTCGACTACGAAAATACAAAAAGCATGATCGCGTTTTGCTTCATCCAATCATGGCCATATCAAAGTTGACGTTGAGTGGCTGCTCATAGCATGCGATTTGCTTACAACTGCATTGATACCTTGATGAGGGTAACTTCTTGAAAACTGCAGTTATCACCGACAAGAAATCCCGTTAAGATGTTTCACAACTTACGATATTTTATGGCTTCCGGCATTGTACTCATTGGGAATATCTTACTATAACATTTTATTGGAAATTGGAGTATCTAGCACTGATATCACCTAGATTACGACTGACCAACATGTAACAAGCTGATGAACACGACACTGTCTCATGACGATTTCAATTTCCTTCTTTTGACCTGCGTACCTTCAAGGGCTAACCGAACGCTTCTACTTTCTTTACAGGTGGCTACTACATAATCGAGCGCAAGACGCTGAAACTCCAGATCGTTGTACTGAACACGAACCTGATGAAAAGGAGCGACCAAGACGAAGACGCTGCGAGACAATGGGAGTGGCTTGAGAGGGTGCTGCAAAAGTTTCAGAGGAACGGCGAAACGGTAAGTGGACGAAAGCTGGTTTAGTCAAGGAGGGTGCTGTTAATTATCCAGTCACTCCAAGATCCTCTCTGCCACGCAGACCCCTGGTAATACCGTTCCGTGCTGAAATACGCAAAAATTCTATTTGGTATCATAGGATGGTGTTACTTAAACAACACTAAGGATGATGTTTTCCCAAATATTCTAATTAATAATTGACCCGTTTCAGCATTAAACTGGTAAAGTTGCATGAATATGCTCAAGTTGAACTAGCAGCACGATTCGAGTGCGAGTTGAGAATCCGTGAGGTAAGGAAGCATGACCCACCAATAACAGAGTCGAATTTGGAAATGGATTCATGTCATAAAGTCGGTAGGAAATTCAAATGGAAATCCATCTGGAAAGGTGAGATGCAGTTATATTTCTTCTATCGTCGATCTCATAAAATCCTAATCTGCTCCTACTCCAACTTTGGTATCACCTCAAGACACCAACCTGCACCGTAACTTGCGCCTAGGCTTCAGATTGCGGCAATGACCGTGTGGAAATCATATCTTCAAATTAACAAAGGTTTTACTTATGACATTTTCATACTGCTTTCGAAATTCATTTTGCAAATCCATATTCCATGTGCCACGCCTTGTTGGCATACTCTTTGTATTTTGAAATTTGAGACAAGCTTCTAGATCTTTCGTTTGAGAACAACTGCCTGCATCAGAAGATAAAATTATACCGAGACACTACATGACCTACGGTTCGCTAATTAAGCTATACCACGCATTGGCATTTCTCAGAATAGGTGGACAAAGGGGGCATTATGGGAATATGTTTCTGTTTAAAAGTATCAATGACAAGTTCGCGTTCAGAACCAATAAGATGAATAAACAGCTAATGAAAAAGCTCTGGCTATTACATATGTGAATAAAAACAACAAAACAATCAAAATAACCGATTATATTCTACAATCAGCAACCAGACTTAATTAGGCGAAAAGAAGATTTTTTTCAGTATTTCACTTTTGTGGATACAGTTGAGTTTATCAATGTGATTTATACTTTATCATAATGCATACATCAACTCTTTCCATCTATTCAGAAACTCATTATTTAGATGTTCATGAGCGTCTCGTCTAAAACGTGGTGGACCCCCATCCTACAGGAACCACATCTTCTAATAATTGTTGCAGATTGTGTCGAAGAAAATCTAAATAGATTTCTCCGGTCAGTCGAGGAGGAAAAGTAGGGTCCAATAAGCATGCCATTTACCACGCCAGCCCAAACATTTAATGAAAATCTATGTTGAAAATGAGTTCTTTTTACAGCAGCGGATTTTCTACTGCCCAAACATGATTGTTGTGGAAATTGTGCACTCCATTCCGTAAAATGTGGTCTCGGCTGTACACAAAATTAGTTTCTTAAAACCTCCAGTTCTGTTGAACTGGCAAAATGCAACTCTTATCGTATTGCCTTCCATACCTTACTACAATAAACTTCGACTGCTATGGCTCTAGTACTCATTGTTGGGTCGTCTTTGCACCATCTCTTAAATGTCTTCCTCAATTTGTAACATTTCAGGTTGAGCAGGTCTTCCTCCGTGACCTCCTGTGTCACAAAGTCTAATAACTAAATTTACGAACATCCGTGGGGCCGGATGATTTCTTACATTCCGCATACAACCTGCATGCTGCAGCTGCATTTTGTTGACACTCTCCGTATATTAAGAGTATTATGTCCGCTAGTTCATTGTTTTTTTAAGAATGGGTCATGTTTTCACAGTTAAAATAAGTTACTCAACTTTGAAAACACCCTGTATAATGTGGTTTTTATTGAGATCCCTTGTATGATACGAAGTAAGCTTGAAGGAGGCATTTTGTGAAAGAGAACAAATCTGTCGAGGAGGAAGACAAAGATTCTTACCTAATACGTATCGTGTCGCTCAATCAAGCTGATTCAGAACATGACACCTATTCGCTGTAAACCAATGTATCAACGTGCCATTTGCATAAGTGTGACTGCAGTCGATGTATATTCAGCATTATAGCTAAAGAATCTACACTCTCGCTTCGCAACTACTAGCCTGTCATTGGAACATGCATCAACATGGATCATCCACACACATGACCACTCAGTACCCGCATGAGCACAGCACGTCAAAATTAGCTCCCATTATATGCCTCTTTCCATCTTTACGGACAGATCGCAACGGTCCTTAGTCGAATACACAATTGAGCAGGATGAAATACCGCCATGCTTTCGATGACTGAATCGATCCCATAACCACCTCTTCAAGCTGTCAAAGACATTTTCTACCATATTTTACTCAGGCTGCCACTGCAACGCAATCTCGATGTCAATTGCAAATCGTGGTAGCTGAGGTCGACTGTGTCAATATTTTACTAGCCTGGATAGATATTATACTTACTGTTGTAGCGGATTTGGGGTAACGGTACTTTACAAAGGAAGTGGATTTAGGCAAAGAGATGTAACAGAATGAAGTATGCTTAATCGAGGCTCTGGGTGGTTTAAGCTCATTAATTTCGTGAAATACATGTATATGTAGACTGGATTTATGCATGAGGCTTGAGCATCGTACAAAGCTTTGTCTGTATGCGTTGAAACGCGAGAACTTTGGAGTACAACGACAATAATGAGTAGGCTATAGTTAATTTCACTGTATTGTATCGTTTAACACACTCGACGACATCTACAATACTACAAACGCCTGACCGCAAGTATATTTTCTAACACCTCGAACGGGAGTAGTAATAGTAGAGTTAATGCCGCTAGTTTAATGGGTAAACACCTAGAAAACAGCAGTACGTATCAACAGTCAGGTTAACGGATATGGCCTCGTCAAATTAGAAACATTAGATAAATGTCAGAACACAAGTAGTCGGTTTAGTTGGGTGGATTGACAGAAATAGTCTAGTAAACTTAACGACGCGAGCTTGAATGGAAATAGACGACGACGTCGAGGTCATCCAGATCGAGATTCAGATTCGGATTCATTAATTGATCCAGTAAGATCTACATTGTACTCATTGGATAGGTACATATACGAGGAGGTATCCAAAAATAACCGGAATAGCATCACAGTGGGCGGAGCCCGTGTAGTACACATTTCTGCCCCTAGAGGCATACAACGCAATTCATTACGTTTAGTGCCACCTGAGTTGTCGATCTAACTTCTTTCGTTCCTCTGTAGTCATTATTTTTGCTAAAGCTGTTTCGTGCTTGTTTCGTTTTTTACGATGCCAAGCTTCAGTGAGCAACGTGCAGCTGTGAAATTTTGCTGATGAGAAGGAGCATGAAAGGATGCCACTTTGAGAATTGAAGGGGTGAAAAAAAAACAGGGAGGAGCTGTCAAACGTTTCCAAGGAAGCCTTCAGTAAATGTTTCGAGCAGTGTAAGAATCCGTGGGACAAGTGTATAAGTTGTAGTGGACAGTATTTTGAAGGAGATAAGGTTACTTTGTGAGAAGTTGAAAATAAATAGCTTTTAACAAATAATTCCAGTTTTTTTGGGTACTCCATCGTACATACATATATACAGATTGAAATATAGTAAAATACAAACAACAATAGGAACATAAAAAAATAATATGGTACTTATACACATGGCAATAAATTATTTATCTATCAGAAGCGTCGTGGAATGTGACAGACTCACCCAGTGGAGTCAGGTTTTTAATCTCTAGGGGTAACAATTTAAAAAAGTATATATGTCTGCTGTTATGGAGGTTTTGGATGAAATGTTTGATAAGATATAGGCTTAAATATACTAATTTTCTTACGAGTGCCGCGGTCATGGCAAGCGGACTTTGAATATAATGCAAAATATTTTTTTTGTAAGACAACCACTCTAGAGAATTCATTACCCTGGGTCCAACGCAGTAAGGCCATATGAAATGACAGATTGTACACACGCATAGTAGACGTCTATCAATCCTGAGATGTTTAATCCCCCCCTTACATACGGAATCAAAGCTTACTCATAAAAACGCAGTATCTTTAGATGATACAGCTGTCCTGCATTGAAGACTGGAATTACTGACATTACTGGTTATACTGCGATGAAATCAGTTTCGTAAGCTTATTAGATAAACGACTTGAATAGAGTAGTCGGCGTCCTCATATGGATTAAAGTCCAGTGAAATTGACGAAATTTGTTGGGCAAACCACTCATACGGAAGTAGTCGATGCCATCGTGCATGTTGAGGGCTATTGTTGGATGAAATTAGCTTACGAAGTTACGAGATAAGGAGTCATCCAATAAATAAAATGTTGTGTGTATGTTCAATAAACTTTCACACACCAGGTAAAGCGCTGAGACAGTTAGTGGCAAGTCCGTTTTTTTTTTCATTGTTTGCATTTTACGAGTATATTATCAAATAATGAAATAATACCTAAGAGCCAAAAATAACAAACTCCATCTTTATTTACACTGCGTTCCGTCATAATTTGCATCTGGCATTGCGGCGTAGTACAGATTTTATTTTACTTTAAAGTCGCTTTTCTCTAAAAAATGCCGTTTTGACCCCCATGTTATATGAAACTTTTTGCTTCTTTTAACCCCCTCTATCACACATTTAAATAATGACTATCATAACGTTTACACCCTGTATAAGAATGTTTGGTTTCCCATCAAACATATTTTGGGATATCTGGCCCCAATCACCAGTTTATGGAGTAGCACCCTTTCTTGTACCTACCTTACGTTTAGTTATCTTCGTTGCTACCCTCTCCATTCTTTTTACGGGATTTCAACCTCTTCAGCGTGGAAAGGTATTTAAAAATAAGGTCATTTGCGCTCCTCCAGCTTTATAGCTATTTTGTAGCTTTCCACCAAAAGGAAGGAGATATTGAACAACTTTTCGGGACATGCAATAATGCACGTGGTCAGATAGTACAAAAAAAGGAATGCCTTCTTTCAGATGATTTTGACTACTCTCCACTATCTCGTATCTATATTCCTGATCATTTCGACAAGGCCTAATTCCCAAGGTGGAGATCAGTGATCCCAAAGTCAAATGTAACTAACCTCGAGTTCCAGATTCCCCGCATGACTCATGCCCTTATTCCTCTGGACCCTGCTTGTACTGTAATACGTCTATAAAGCATATATGGAGGTAGCTCTAATACAGTTTCTTTGTAGATTTTTACTGGTAGCATGACAAGACAGACCAGTAGTGCGTGCTGAGGCGCGAATGTAGGTTATTCCATTAACAAAATATTAGGTAATAAACTCGGGACGAGGTTTGACGGGAGTTATTTTCAGCCAAGCAGCGGGTCGAAGCAGCGCGACGTAAACTGATGACAAACGAGGAACAGTGATGCGTTTATAAGGTCATTACTGCCGCGCGAGCTTTGCTTTTACGTCAACCCATATAAGGCGGGCTCATTCATAAATCTGTGATGAAAAATTGTAAGAGGTTTTGTGTTACCACAATCTAGATGGCAACATTGACATAAAGGCTGTAAACATTCACGCACTTCTACGATGTGAAGTTGTTCTAGGAGGCTGGAGTGGAGTATACCACAAACACCATCTGTCAAGAAACAACGCAATAACTGTCTTGCTGTAATTTTAACTAAATTGCATTTGGATCATAAGAATTTCACGACAAGTCTGTCCTACCTATACTACTCTTACTTTCGCTTGGATCGCAGTTTACGCACTTCGATGTCTTATAAATATTTAAAGTAAAATGAAATACCTACATCCTTTTTACCTCTCAATGTCCTAGGAGGAATACGATTTCCACGCGCGGGTGTGTATGTATGTGTGCATGCGCCTCAAAAATTTCACGGCCTTACTGGATTGTAGTATATCAGGTGTCGTTAAATTCGTCTAAGATGATGAATTTCGATCCAACATGTCGCCTTCAAAATTTATATTTCTTGGGCTACAGCTTTTGACATGTGAAGTGTTGTCTTGACAATGCGAGTGATACATTGAAGTGGCGGATCTTAGTGAAAAAATTCAACCTTGATTAATATTGCATGGGTACACCTTAAATGGCTTGATGAATTTTGACATATTCGGTACCTCTAGATTTCTGTTGATCAATCTTCATTTCTTTCAGTAACTTCAGTCAGGTTGCTTGTATTCTTTATAAATGTAGCTATCTTGATCTTTTACTGAAAGTTAGCAGTTATCTGTGGAAGGTAATGCATAGGTGCTCGCCTCTTATAGGTTTCGGGGCAATATTTTGTGTAGCTTCCCTAATATTGCTCAGTTGCTCATTAACATTTCAAAAAGGTTTTGGATCGTTAAATTTGGTGATCCTAGAGGCCAGACGATATCGCTTCATGAGAAGATCAATTGCTCGAACCGCAATTCATCCTGGTTCCGTTGTAGAATTTTAAAGGCCTCAAAGCTTTGCATCACATTAATAATGCTAGCCAGAGGTAGTAAAAGAATTATGTGCTATGTGCGTTGTCTTTTTGGATCACTCAGGTTTGTGCAAGTCTTTGGGGAAAACATTTTTTATACAAAACTTATTTCAGAGGGAGGCTAACATTTCATTTAAAATATTTTGGTTAAAAAATAAATGACCACCCGCTACATGCTTTGAAGAACAACAGCATATTGCACAGCAAACTTTCTAAGAACAAATGCCGGGGTATATCGACGCAGAAATAAGTGATTCTAAAAGCACTTTTTCGAGAGCGGGAAACATAAGAAGCCGTATATTTTGCCTTCTTTCCTAATATTTATGTAGGTCCCATATTGGAAAAAGCCGACGGAACGGGATCACTTAAAATTCAACAGGAGAACTCAGTTCAAACTATTTATTTTGGATGTCACGCCGCTAACGCTGAAACAATAATTTAACTCTTGTATGTGTACCCTTTCGCACCAGTGGCGGAGGCATATTGCCTTTGTCCAAACTAATGCTATAATAAACTTAACACAGATCAGAAAAGCTAATTACGCAGATGGTGTAAGTAGTATTGCATCAATCTGTACCCTGCTCTTAGCGTTCCCTGAATAAAACTTTACATATTAATTAAATGAAAAATGCGTCTGTATTCGCAGCTGTCCTGATATTTTCTCTTGGTTAGAGTATCTTCTTTGCTCTTGGATGAAGTATTGTCAGTAGGTCTGTCTGGTCTGGTTGCCCCAAATAACAAACAAAGTCATGGAGAAAGAAGAGAAGAAGAAAGAAGAAAAGGAAGGAGGAATAACAAAGAGGAGGAGGTGCGTCAGTTTGGCATCTTGGCATTGCTTATTAATATTCAGGTATTCAAGTTTATCCTTGAATTAATTTAGCACTTGGTTGTTGTAGAAAAATTGTTTTGGACCTAAAGTCACACGATTTAGTTTTGTTAACAGTGCGAGCCGCAGTCTTGTGTGCTTGTGAACTAGCTCGACTGTGAGTGCGTAGTGGTATAACTGTTTGAAATATCAAGAGCCTTATTTTTTGTTGTTCATTGTAATATATCAGAGGTGACAGTGACAATGTTGTTCTTGAAAACAGAAATTTCACGACTCTGTAGCTATTCAATATGATAATAATAATAATAATACTAATACTAATAATAATAATAATAATAATAATAAATCATCCTAAAGCTGATGTTCAGAGGTTGTATATCAGAAGGCGTGAAGGTGGGAGAGGACTTATAGAGCTTGAGTCTGCTTTCAACTCGGAGATAGTTCAGCTAAGCGAATATATAAGATCCAGTAACGATAAACTTCTGAAAGCTGTTAGGCATCATGATGAGGAAAAACTGAAAAACTCGCTTCTCATGGAAGCTATAAAAATCAAAGCTAAGTATCTCAACTCTGATGTGTTCGGTCAAAACATAAAAGACATGATGCGCCGTAACGCTCAAATCGAAAAAAAGCAAGTCTTGAGAAACAAGCCTCTGCACCGTCAATTTTTCAGAAACCTCGATAAGCCATCCATAGACAAACAGGCGACAATGGCGTGGTTACAGAGCTCTGGACTAAAGGGCGAGACTGAGAGTCTTTTAGTTGCAGCACAAGACCAGGTACTAACAACACGATATTATACAACAAACATCTTGAAGCAGACAACAGACAGCAAATGCAGAGTATGTGATCAGGCAGAAGAGCATATCAGTCACGTAATAGCAGGTTGCAAGGTGCTGGCGCCCAGCGAGTACACGCACAGGCATAACAACGTCGCTAGCTATGTCCACTGGACCATATGTAAAGATTTAGGGTTGTCCGTGGCTAGCAAGTACTACGAGCACGTTCCAGAAAGAGTACTAAGTCTTAACGACACCACTGTCATGTGGGACGTGCCTATTATCACCGATCGAACAATCCGAGCAAATCGGACTGATATTGTGATTCACAACAAACAACAGAAGACGTGCCTTCTGCTAGATATCGCAGTACCTGATGACTCCAACGTGCTGCTGAAAGAATCTGTAAAGATCTCAAAATATGAAGACCTAGAGATCGAGATCAGCAAAATGTGGCACGTTAGAGCTAAAACTATACCCACAGTAGTGGGCGCCCTGGGAACAATTAAAAAAGGTCTAAACAACTACCTTCAAATATTACCAGTCCTGCCTAGCGAAACTGAAATCCAAAAGATTGCATTGTTGGGTACCACACATATCCTACGGAAAGTGCCAGGGTAAATATCTAAGAGCTCCTGTCGAGCTCCGTGTTTACTCCTGAAAACCGTCCAGAGGCGAGAGCAAAACAACATTAATAATAATAATAATAATAATAATAATAATAATAATAATAATAATACATAAAAACAAAATAAGTAAATATATCACGCACTTTAATTTTACACAGGATATCAAATCTGTAAAAATAATGCCTATCATAATATCATCTACAGGCGTTATTCCACAATGTACCGTCGATGGAATCAGGGAGCTAGGTATAAATGAAAATATCATTAAGATCAGAGGGCAGCAATACTAGGTACTTGCGGGATTGTTAGGGAAGCACTAAATTTGAAAGAATAGATAAGCTAGAAGACTTGCCCTGTGAGGGACGTCAACAGGCAAAGGATCAGTACAACGACCGAGAGACCAGTAAAAATAATAATAATAATAATAATAATAATAATAATAATAATAATAGTAATAGTAATAGTAATAGTAATAGTAATAGTAATAGTAATAGTAATAGTAATAGTAATAGTAATAGTAATAGTAATAGTAATAGTAATAGTAATAATAATAATAATAATAATGATAATAATAATAAATGCTTGGGCTGTGCCAGTGCTGTCATTTAGCTTAGGCGTTATTGAATGGAGCGATACAAACCTAGCAGAAATCGATCGCGAAACTAGAAAATTGCTCTCCAAATTTCGTATGCTACATCCAAAATCTGCGACGGAAAGAGTATACATACCTAGAGCCCTTGGGGGAAGAGGACTGATTAATGTTGAGCGCCTTTGCAAAGAGCAAGTGTCCAAGCTTCGTCAATATTTTTGCAACATCAATTGCCAAAACATTAGGAGCATTATAGCTATGGACAGCAACATCACCCCCATGAATTTGGGCAGAAATCATGAACCCTCAGATCGATCAATACCGACGTCGACTGACCTGCTCAACGGATGGAAAGAGAAAACCCTACACGGGAGATATCCTGTAACACTTGAAAAAGATAGAATTGATAAAAAGTCCTCAATATCAATTTTTGTGAAAGGCTACCTACATCCGGAATCGGGGGATTTTCTATGTGCTATTCAGGATAAGGTTATTCGAACCAGAAACTATGAACGCCATATACTAGGCCTGAATACACACGACGTATGTAGAAAATGCCATACGCCAGGTGAAACAATAGAACACATCACCTCCAGCTACAACATGTTAGCCAATAGTGCTTACTTATCCCGGCATAATCAAGTAGCCAAAATAATACACTCCACGTTAGCTCAAAATTATAATCACATTCAGTCAACCGCGCCATATTATAAATATACACCATTCCCAGTACTCGAGAATCAGTCGGCCCTATTGTACTGGGACAGGCCAGTCATAACCGATAAAACAGTTGACTATAACCGGCCAGACATACTACTGATCGATAAAAATAAACGGAAAGCATACATAATTGATATCGCAGTTCCACTCACAGTAAACATAATCAGAACCGAATACTCCAAGGCTGAAAAGTACCAAAACCTTGCCATTGGAATCAAAAACATTTGGAAACTATCAGAGGTCTGCATAATACCAGTAGTAGTGTCTGTGGAAGGGGCAATCTCTGTAAATCTCCACTCTCACTTAGAGAAAATCAAAGTTCCAGCGCATTTTATTGCATTGATGCAGAAAGCCGCAATCTTGCAAACATGTCACATAGTTCGCAAGTTCTCTGCAATAGGCTGAGGTGAATTCCTCAACTGTTGTGTACATACCCCGTGTGTAACGCTGAAAGACCAACCAAAAACGAATAATAATAATGATAATAATAATAATAACGGCTTTATTGGGCGAATATGTGTAAAAACAGTGAAACAGTATCAAACAAGACTTGTGTCAGGAATTAAGATGAGATAATGTTATGTCGCGCATTGCTGCGCTGCTGCTCAAACAATTGTGCACAGCAGGGAAGAGACTATAGTTCCACAATACTGAAAGGTATTATTCAACTCTGCATTGCTGTATCCCAATGAGGCAGGAACGGTTTGCTGTGCCAGCAGGCAAAACCAAAAGAGGCAGAATGGGCTCGAAAAATTGCCGTTAATAATTTCTGATACTGGAAGAGGAGAGCGTTGGATGTTAACAGTACAAATCTCAAGGTTTGCGTGATAACCCTGAAGAACTAGAAATGCTGGTATATGTAACAAGAAATCGATTGAAAACGTGTATAGTTTAAAGTAGCAGGTCAAATTTCAATAGAAAACTAACACTTTTTACGTGTTATTTAAGAAACGATATCGTAAACAATTTTGAGCATAACTTTTTTGTCGCTCTTCAGATTCTTAAAATCAAGGACTAATAAATCATTCCTCTTATCTCAGAGATTCCAACGGCAAAAAACTTCTTGGAAGCAATAAGATTATGAAAAGGTAAAAATAGTTCTGATACCGTATGTCCTAAAAGTTTTGGCACAAAATATTTAGCAGTTTTCGTTTAATGAAGACATTTATTTAAACACTAACTAGTTATCATTAATTGCAACTCAACGATGTTAGGTCTGGCCAAAGCATGATATTCATTAGCATGACAAACTGAAGCAATTTGGAAAGGCAGTTAATTCCAGCTTTGGGTACCAAACAACTTGTAGATACTTTTTCTTATTTCTAAGTTATACGACATCTTAAAGTGAAAACTTCAAAATCAATAGATGCCAACAGACAGTAAGGTAAGTAAACAAACTTCATCTTCCAAAGGCAACATGATATTATTTTGGGATTGTTTAAATTAAAACCAATGAATTTTGCGTCAAAACTTCTAGGACAAACGTTAATAGAGGGCGCAAATGTGTCTGAAGAAGTTGGGAAGAAGTTGTTTTCCTCAGATGGCACTCTGTGTTATCAGTAATCTGACGATGATTACAATCTCCACCCTATATACTATGCTGGTGAGGCAGCCCACACGTCGTGAGCACCACAGATAGATAAATGACACAACCGCCGTTTTACTTATATTTGCCCAAGTTATTGTAACTTGCATCAAGCTAGCATAGTTTCTGTTGTGGCACTATATTGTTATTATGTGTGTTTATTGATTCTCTACAAGGTAGATATAGAAGTGAACACAACCCCCGTATTAAAATACAATTCGTACGTAGACATCAACATAAAACGCATTTATATTACCAAAAATTAGTAGGCAACGCGAACATCAGAAAAGTAAGATAATAGCTAGGCTT